AAAAGAGTAATAATAATAAAAAAAATGTTGTAGCGGTCTAGTCAAAGTCCAGACTTTAATCCTGTTGAGCTGCCATTGAATGATCTTAACTGATCTAAATCATGCTTTAAAAGAAATCCTGAGTAAATATTAACTCTTCTTTTCAATATTCAAAGAAAATATTTGTTTTGTTCTCTAAAGTAACAAATTCAGTTACTTCTAAGTATTTCTTAAAGTTAAATCATATTTGAAGCTCCATCTTCCAGAAGATATTTAAGTATAAAGCTCATAAAAGCAAATTAAGATTATCTATAAAAAGTTTTTCTGAGTGTAAAGAGTTTGCTGCTTGGAGACAGAAAGTGCAGCAGTGATTGATCTTCTGCACATACCTCTCCAGTACACAGAGTAACAACAGAGCGTCTGAATGGGTTTGCATTGACCGCAGTGAAAAGTACAGAGCAGAAACATTTTTCTCCTGGTAAATGAAACCACAATGTGTTTTTGTTGTTCTGTTAAACCACGCTCTGCATTTTCTTCTGTCATAAAATCTCCAAACCTTTTCAGACCATCTCATGTAAATGGTCTGAAATGAAATGAAATAGTAGTTAATATAAATAAATCTGTTATAATAAATTGTTTATTTAGGTGTGTTATGGACTTTTTCTGCCAGATTAAATCTCAGTGAACTGAATTTTCTCCCTGTGAGATCATGAAGTTTTCATCCAGCTGGTTTCTGTTTTTCTCTACTCTCCTATGAAACCTTTTTTTACAGCGTTTGAAAGAATAATCGATCCTTCTTGACCTTTTTTCTATGACAACATGCCACGATTAGCAATCCGCTCTGCGGCTGATGACATCACAACCGGGCAACTTCTGGGTGTTGAGGCAATGCAAATAGAAAAAATAAACATGGTTGTAAACAAAGAGACAAGAGTCAGCAACAGATTCATCTGGATGTGGAGATGATCTCAGGCCTGGACCTTCAGAGTCACATAAAGATAATTAGAAAATCAGCCTTCTATCACCTGAAGAACATTTCCAGGTTTAAAAAAACTAATATTCCAGCAGGATCTATACACTGTAAAACATTTGAAGGTGGCTTTACTTGAAAATGAAAGTCCACCTGCTGCCTGGAAAATGCAATTTAAGTCAAAATAAAATTGTTTTGGTTTTAACTCAGAAATTAAAGTTCATGAACTTGATTTAACAATGAGAGACAAGTTGTCTAAGCATTGTTTTTAAGTTCATTAATTTTGAATTGTGAGTTTAACTTACCTAGTTAAAGATCCATATTTCTCTATTATTTTACTCACAATGTTAAGTTAAAATAACTTATTTTACTTTAGAATAATTAAAAATTTTGCCTCAAATTACATGAACAAAATTTCTGATCTGATAATGAATTTTATTAAACTTCACAATGAATTCAGCTCAGAAACATTTAGTGTGAACAGGACTTTATCCTCAAGCTTTAAAATAAACATTTTCCTTAATAAAACACCAGAGTTTGACAAAATTAATACAACAAACATAGTTAACACAACTTACTGCTGTAAGTTTATCTTTCACAAACTCACATTTAGGTTCAAAATCTAAAACTGGATCAATTTATTTTACTTAAAGAGTAGAAGATAGTAGACACAACTAAATATAACTCAAATGTTTTACAGTGCAGAAACACCTGCATGCGTTCATCTTTTGTTTAATTAATTACAGCAGCCAGAGCCGGATTTAGAATGATAAGGACAGTTTGGCTAACAGAGTTCAGGATCCATTTTATTTGTTTTCATTGTTTTAAGATGTCAAACCCAGCAGTGTGTTCACATAGCAGCTGCTGTTCGCGCTACTGAAACCATGAAGTGATCCTTAAATAACCTGTGATCAGTTTGTCACCTGGTGGCGCCGTTTCATTTCTGATCTGGGCTCGGCACTGCGGGCGGCTCTTTTCCATCCACGTTTTTAGGAAACCTTAGAAATAGAAGGAGATGAAGGAGCAAACTCAGTTAAAAGTACATCATGATGGGCCAGCTAAGCTGATAGACAATCGATGTAAAACAAGCATCAAACTCGAGGCCCGCGGGCCAAATCCGGACCACCACAACTATTTATGTGGCCCTCAAGACTATAGAGCAGGAACTTTTAGTCACAAAGGCCAAAAAGAGGGAACAAAAACTAAAATCAAGCAAATAAAGTAGTCCAACTTTTTTATAAATAAAAAGGGTTTTGCAGGTTTGCTAAATTTAAAGACAGGCATCTTGTTTTCACATTCTTTTGGGCTCAGTATAACAAATTTATTATCAGTTATAAGAGCAGAATTTTGGGTCACTTTCTTTTGAAATGCTCGCTACATTTAGCCAATTTCAGTGAATTAAATAGAAGTTGATTTTGTTTCAGCAAAGTCAGTAAAAATCTCTGGATAAACGAGGATAAATGAGGATCTACTCATTAGTTATAGCACTTTGTGTTATTACTAACAAAGTGTGTATAACACTACAAAGTGTAGTATAACACTTGATTTTATGATTTTAAAGTGTAGTATAACTACACTTTGTTAGTTATAACACAAAGTGTTATAACTAACACTTTGTGTTACAATAACTTTGTTTGTGTTATAACTAACACTTTGTGTTAGTTATAACACAAAGTGTTAGTTATAACACTTATAACACAAAGTGTTATACTTTTTCAGGAAATGATGGCAATAATTTCACTCTGATTTAAAAATAAAAAATCATCTTGGCCAAATTTCTATCATTCTCAAACTGCTTTTAGGGCCACACAAACACAATCCCAGGGCCACAAACGGCCCCCAGACCGCACTTTGGGCACCCCTGCTTTGGAACGCCATAAAAATCAAATCAGTTTTTTGCATAGTGTCAAATTACAATGTGGAAATATATTAAATATGTGATTTTAAGACATTCTCTTCATATGTTGAGAAAGATAAGGCAGTTTGTTGAAAGGTATTTTAATCAATACATTTTGTCATAACTAAAACATTTTTTAATTCACTTTCAAGGTGATTGCACTGAAAGACAACTGTCTGTTTCTGGTTAGCGATGGAAACCAACAACCTCTCCTCTCTGCTGAGGCTCGAAGGTTTGGGTAAACGTCGTTTCTGCTGCAGCATCAGCTCCTTAAAAAGCTCTGCTTGCTGCAGGGTCGCTCTGTCTAGGTTTCATCAGCAGCACTAGAATGAGATTACATTTCCTGGGAAAATTGATTTAACCCAGAGGTTAATTCTTCAGGTACAGAAATGAACATGTTCCTTCTTCAAAGAACACAAAGAAACAAAACGCAGGATGATCTCTGGACAGAGACATGTCCTCACATCGTTTCGCTTCACCAGCAAAATGAGCTTCCACCAGGAGTATTCCTGGGAATTCCTGGAAAAGTAAAGCAACAGTGTAACTTTACATCTCAGCATAATGCTGACTGACTGGTGTTTATAAGGTAGCACTGATTTTAGTTATTGTTTTAAAAACCGCCTGGAATGAAACCTTCATTAGGCTGCACAGCGGAAATGACTCGTAAAGGTCGACTGACACGTGTGATTGACGTTTCTCTAATTAGCTCCTGCTTTCCAGCTCTTGCTCCATTTTCAAATCATTTTCTATTTTTACCCATAAATACATGGTGCACAGCATATTTCTGCTGCTTCATCAGAACCATTTTCTGCACCAGACAAAACCTTAGAAAATGTTTTTTTTTTAAGTTACAGTATTTTCTGGACTATAGAGCGCACCCTTACGATAAGCCGTACAAACAAAGTTTTAAAAAAACTTTAAAAAAAAACTGGAAATGTACAAATATAAGCCGCTCCGGGCTGTAAGCCGCTGGTATCTTCGCTGCTCTCGGTTTTTCATTTATTAAGGACGGATGATAATAATTCATATTAGTGACAAAAAATAACAAATTCAGGCAAAAGGAAATATTTCCAAATCATTTTCTTTCAATAAAAAACTTGTGAAACTTTACTAAAAGCTGCAGGTGTGTGAGTGTGTCTGTTTCTGGAGGCTTTTTGTGAAAAATCATGTTTATTCATTTAGTGGGTAGAAAATCCTGAAGTATTACTAAAGTAAGAGTAGAAATACTTCATAATAGTGTTAGTCAGAGCACAGCGTAGTAAAAATAATGTTTCCAACAGAGTTACTTAAGTAAATGTAACTCGTTGCTACCAAACTCTGCTCATATCTGACACCAGAAGTCGACATTTATAGCTTGGTAAAAGTCGTTGTTATGGAAATTGCTGTATGTGTCGCCTGGCCCTTTAAAGCCAATAAAAACAAGAACCCAACGTTATCAATCTGAGTCTCATCCTGACTGCAGCTGCAGGCAGGAGAGCATCGCATCAACGTTTTCCACCTTCTAGTTGGTTAAGAATAGCATCGTGTTCTCCAAGCGACAAAACACTCACAATGAGGCTCATTAACGCAGAACATCCCAAACACTTCGCCGAAATCCAGGCCTGTTTTTTAAACACACACACAGTGATCTCGGATCCGGTTCAGGTCCTGAACGGGGCTGTTTTCCACGTCTCCTAATTGCTTTGTTGCTCCAAAGATGCAGTGAGGTAAAGATCCGGGGTCAGAGTCGGCCTGGGGGATCAGGGTGTGTGTGTGTGTGTGTGTGTGTGTGTGTGCGTGTGTGAGGTAATAGGAGCTCTTAGAAAATGACTCATGCCATTATCTCATCACGCGCAGACATAAACTGATCTACACGTAAAATATGCGACCAAAGCTGGAGCCAACTTTGAAAAGGAAAAGATCAACAGATTGGGGGAAGTCAAACCAGTTTATGTCAGGACTCTGGGTTTTTGGGTTTGATCTTATTTAACATTGTGTTTTAGTTCACTTTAGTTTAGTTATTATTTGGATGTAACTTCCCTTTTCAGTCTCCCTGTACCGATTCTATTAATGTTTATTTCATCTCTCTGGGTTCAGTTTTTTCTTACTTGTCTGGTTCTTTACTGGTTCCAGTTGTTCAGTCCTTCTTTTTTAGTGTTTCTAGCCTTTCTTTCTGGTTACTTTAGGTTGAGTTCTGCTATGTTTGCATCCATGCCCGTCTTCCTTTAGTAATTCTAGTTAGTTCAATTATTATTGTTAGATCTGCCTGGTTTCTGCTTAGGTTTGTTTGTTTTTCCCTCATGTCTTTTTCTCTTCTAGTTGATCAGGTTTTCTTTATTTTTAGAAGTGTTTCCATCTCCCTGTTTTCCATAGTGTTTCTCCTTTGCTTCCTGCCATCTTCTCCCCGCCCCTCAGCCTCCTGTGATACTCACACCTGCAACCAATCATCTCATCTCGTTAGGTCCATTGCTCCATTTGCCTCCTCCCAGTATTTCAGCTCCTCTGTCCCAGTCACAACTGGCCAGTCTGTCTCATCACGTCCCTTATGCTCCTTAGGATCTCCTCAGTTTTGGATTTACTCTGGATTGTGTTCCCCTTGGATGTTCATGTTTTGTGAGTTGAACTCTGATTTTGCTCATTAAATATCTGTAACGGTTTTACCTGCTGCTTTTGGGTCGGCCACACCACATCACTAAGCTCATAAAGGAGATAAAGCAGCAGGCGTGTCGAGCTCAGATTCATTTTGGGCCAAAAAAAGATCATGAATGCTCTTAAAGGGCCGGTGGTGCCAGAAATATAAAGTTATGCCCACATAACTTTATATTTTGGTCATGATGATGATATCATGTTTTGATCAATTACTCAACTAGACTTTCTACCAAATACTTTTTTATTCTTACGTGAGTAATTTCTTGGATGGACATTTTCTACTTTTAGTTAAATGTTTGGATTCTCTGCACACATTTCCTTTAATCCCAAACATGTGAAAATGCTTTAGGGTCCATACGCTGTTTTATGTTAGATATCGTTTTGTTTCTGTGTTTTCTCAGACAGAGCGGTGTTTGGGCCCGATCCATTTTACACGATAAGGATAAATCCTAATTACCACGTTAATTTATTCAGGTCTGTTCATTAACCTCCGGATGTGATTTTATTCTTGATTTACTTTATGAACAGCCTGATGTTCCTTTTATGTGTTTTATGAGTAAAATACTTTGAGCTGCTTTGGTTTGTAGAAATTATGAAACATAAAAACAGATTTGCTTTCTTTTTGTAAAGCAGGTAGTCTTCTTACTTTTGGGTTTCAGATTTTATTTATTATTTTATTTATTTATGCCTTGACCAGATCAGACACATTTAGTTTTTCACTATTGGATTTCTTTTTCTTTTCCAAATCAGGGGTGTCCAAAGCGCGGTCCGGGGGCCACTTGTTGCCCTTGTGGCTTCCAACTGCAGTTCAAAAGTGATACCACTGAATTTAATGTTTTCTGTTTTAAATCAGAGTAAAATTGTCACTCATACGGTTTTGATGCAATGGAAAATGTTAATTACAACACAAAATATTTTGTCATTTTTCAACTAAACTTTTATAAGTAGAACCAGGTCCATCCTGAGACTTTTACTGATTTATTTTGTTTTTATTTTTTGAGTTATTGAACTTGGCTAAAAAATAAGTGTTTTGAAAGAAAGTGACCCAAATCCTGTTTTTATAACTGAGATTAAATTTGTTCAAACGAGGATGGAATAATTTGAAAACTAGATCATTTCCTTATAGTATAGAAAATGTGTAAAATCCTAGTTAGGATAACACAATTTCCAACAATAAATAAATAAGTCTATTTTATTTGCTTGAGCTTAGTTTTTTATTTTGTAATTTGGACGTGATGACACCCTGCTGTAAGCGAAGGTCAGCTTTCCTCTGATGCTTCGTTTGAACTGCATCAGCACAGAGATGTAATTTTATCCCAAACCTTCCTTTGTCTTGACTTTGTAAATTAGTTAATAAAAAAATGTACCATAATGTTAACAGTCCTAAACACAAGTCGTAGTTCCTGTTTACGTCCAGTAAAGGGGTTTTAGGTAGGACTCTGGGATAAATTGATTTTATGATTATAATATAGAATTTTGGGGGTTTGAAGATTTAATTTATGGACAAAATGGATTTTTTTTTTAGTGATATCAGAACACATAGGGCGACCATTTTGTTTGACAAGCATATTTTACAACTACCATTTATTTTTTACAACTTCTATTTATTTGGAATTTGAATTGAGGTAAAATTTAGGCTAAGATTTTTCTTTTTAAATAATGAGGATAAAGTCACAGTATTACATGAATAAAGTAATAATGTTATGAGAACTTCAACACAAAATAACAAAAAAATTAACTATCCAAGCTTTGTCCTCAATGAATCAACTTTTTTCTTTTAATTTTATGACTTTCTTCTGGTAAAATTGTCTTTATTCTGCTAATATTACAAGTATATTGTTGTAATTAAACACATCATCATAGTCTGGCCCTCGTACTCTGTAAAACTTACAGAAAGGATGAATGAAGTAAAAGGCAAGAAACAAAATCGATTTAAATCAGATCTGGTATGAAAAATTTGGTGATATTATTTTTAAGTCGCATCGCCAAGCCCTTGTTGCAGGCTAACACTGTCTTGACTTGTGATTTTGGTTGATTGAAAAACATAATAAATGTGCAATTTGAATTAAAATTTTAAGATTTGCTGCCAAAAAATGGGGTAAGAAACTAAGCAGCCACTCACGTTTTGCCTCGGCTGAAGAGATGCTGGCGCAGCAAAAAGGCCAAAGTGGAGAGAACCATGATGGTGGTGCACATGGTTCTCAAAACCCTCCTGCAGTGAAAAACCCAGCAGCTTCAACACAAACCCTCCATGCTGCAAACAATCCAAGCTGCAGAGAGGACGACTGCAGGTGTTTGTCTTTCCTCTGTCCTGCTGCTTGGATCAGGATCACTGCAGGATTAGCAGATTACACAGCCTAAGCTACGCTGTGTGAGCATCCATCACTCACAGTCTGCATGTTCTTTAATCAACAGCTTCACCTGTGTGATTGCTCCTTGTTGCAGTAATGAGCCACCTACTCAGCCAACCCACACGTTTAGATCCTGATTTCATGTGTTCACAACTTCTGATAAGGATTTTATGAGACTGTTTGGGCAGGAAAGGTTTGTGAATATCGCAGTAAGACAGGGAAGGTATTTTTATTTATGTAGCACATTTTCACCAAAAGCAGCTCAAAGTGCTTCACACGAGTTAGAAGGAAACAAAACCAAAGGTAAAAGTATAAAACTACATATTGGTTCCTCTTGTTTAATAAAACACAGAAAAGTTGTTTCAATGAAAACAAAGTTTGGATAGTTAATTTTTTTATTTTTTGTTGAAGTTCTCATAACATTACTACTTTATTCATGTGATATTGTGACTTCATCCTCATAATTTAAAAATAAAAGTCCTAGCCTGGCACTTGTATTCCAACCTCAATTCCAATTTAAAATAAATAAAAGTTGGATTCTTGTTCTGATAAAACTAAGTGTTGGTTCTCCGGGTCTGATTCTTGTTATGTACTTTCTAAGTTTGTTCTAGATTTATAAGCAGGAGTTTTTCCTGGGTTTTGCTCCGATATTAAAACCGTAAAGCTGAATGTTGGTCTAAAGTAATAATTACTCCACTGTTTATAGAAGTAATAAACTAATAATTTTTCTGTTTTAAACAAACACTCGCAGACCAACTTGAAATTTCCGCCACAATAACACATCTATATTGAAAATATTTGTCTCTTTACTCGTTGTCTTTGCTCCTCCAGACATGAAGGTGGCGCCGTTTTGTTTTGGTGCTTATCAAATCCTGAACACTGAGGGTGTTTTATGTTAATTTGGAGTCTTTTGTGAGATTTTGATGTGATCTTTTAGTAATTTTGCTCCATACTCTCCCCGTTTATCGATGCTTCACTCGAAAAACAAAAAATCTTACCACGTAGTTTTCGAGTTTACAGTCCAAATAGCTTTTCTTCCACTTGTGATGAGACAAAACTAACAAGTAACTTTTCAGCCAGATGGAGGAGCTTGTTTAAGTCAATAATTCGTTAATACTGATTTTAAAAAGTGTTTGCTCCAGTGGTAGATCATTTCACTTATAACAAGATATTTTCTCCATGTTTCAGTGAAATAATTTACCAATGAAACTGGAACTTTTTCATCGATATTAAGAAATTATTGATTTAAAACAATATGCTATATGTTGCTGAAAAGTTACCTGTAAGTAGTTTTGGTAACACTTTATTTGAAGGGGGTTGAAAAAGGCTGACATGACACTGTCATAAACATGACATAACACCTGTCATGAACATGAATGAGCCTTCATGAATATTTATGACTGTTGTCATAAAGTGTCAGTCGGTAAATTATGACACTTTTAATACAAAGTTGACATTATTCAAAATGTCTTTGACAACTTCACATTAACCAATAAATCATTACTGTTTAAACTTTACCTTTAATAACAAAGTTACATAATTTTTAAAGTGAAATCAGTAATACTTTTATAACAAATTTATATCAGTAATGATTTCTTGGTTAATGTCAAGTTGTCATAAAAAAGACATTTTGAATAATGACAACTTTGTATTAAAAGTGTCATAATTTACCGAATGACGCTTTATGACAACAGTCATAAATATTCATGAAGGCTTATTCATGTTCATGACAGTTGTTATGTCATGTTTATGACAGTGTCATGACAGTCTTATTCACCCCCTTCAAATAAAGTGTTACCGTAGTTTTGCCTTATTTCTGCTGTAATAAGATATTTGCACCAGAAACTGGACCAAAAATGGTGAGATGTTGTGTTACTGGCTAAATCCTTTCATGTTTATCGATGTTAATTTTTTCTGTTTTTGTAATCTGCTCTTGAATTTCTTCAGATGTGGCTACAATGTGCTGCTTTTTGGGATCTTGTAGTTTATTTCATGGTAGATCTGATGAATGACATTAAACCACAGTTTAGCTTTTCACAGAGTGTCAGGCAGGTCTAAGCTGAATTAAAGATAATTTCTTCAAGTTTGTTTAATTTTAAACATTTTACAAAAACCAAAGAATTATTTCATAGAGCAAATATATTTTCGCATCACTTTAAACTCTCAGAATTACTCACTTATTGCCTTGAGCCACTGGTGTTTACAAAACACCGGCTCTGTGAAGCTTCAGCCCTAATTGTCAGGAATCTCTTAGTGTCTCTCCACTGACACAAAGTTTGAATAATTGGAGATTTTTCCAATTAGGTGGCGTGAGTTTGTCCCAAAGCTGTAGATGAGATGCACAGCCACATCGCTGCAACTTGACATTCCCTGAAGCCCTCCATGTGAGTGTCAGTCTGTATGCGCTGTGCAGATTCACTGACTGATGTCGTGACGGATGTCAGAGGATCCACGTCTCGCTGCCCAGGAGAAATATAACCCGAGTCCAACAGGACGGGTAAAGATCTGATGTGTGAGTATTTATAGACATCCTGATTATGCTGTCAGGGTGTTTGTTCCCGTTCAGAGGTCATCAAAGAGGATCTGGAAGTGTAAGAAAGGTTTAACTGGCTTTAATGAAAATCAAAAACGGACAGAAACAGAAGCAGTCTGCTGCTCTGCAGACTGAACAGGATGTGTTGTGATCCTGCGTGAAAAACATCGAAATGTCTGGTGTCTTTCCAAAACTATGATGCTGCTGATCTGAGCTACGCTGATCCAAAGGGTCACTGTAAAACAATAGAGCTCCATTTAGCTGTGTCTACTGTCTTCTATTCTTTAAGTCAAATACAGTTAAAGTTTTAGATTTAGAGCCTAAATGTGAGTTTGTGAAACATAAACTTACAGCAGTAAGTTGTTACTTTTTATTAATTTTGTCAAACTTCCAGGAGTTGAATCGACTAGAGTTTTCAGGTTAGCACTTAAAAAACTGAAAGGAGAAAAAGACAGGAGTGGGAACTATTTCCCAGAATGCTTAGCAGCATGTTTCTGTATCCTGAGATGGAAGTGCGTCACATTGATCCGACTCTGGTGTTTTGTTCATGCAATTTGAAACAGGAATTTAGATTATTTTAAAGTAAAATAAGTAGTTATTTTATGAGTAAAATAGTAGAGAAATGTAGCTCTTAAATTTTTTTTTCTTGCATATTGTGAAATAAATATTTGGTTTAAATTGCAGCATTAAGTCAAAACTCACAATTCAAGGTTAATTAACTTAAAAAAAACAATGCTTACACAACTTGTCTCTTGTTGTTAAATCAACTTCATGAACTTTAATTTGAGTTAAAACCAAAACAATTTTTTTGTTGACTTAAATTGCATTTCCAAGGCAGCAGGTGGACTTTCGTTAAAATGTAGTAATTACAAAGCAATCATTAAGAAGAAGAAGAGTGGAGGGGATTCCAGCTGGCGTATATCTGACCCGGTGACCCGCGACATGCTGCTGCTATACTGAGAGCCGCCAGTCGGCCATCAGGTCATGTGTTCACGTCTCTGAGCGGCTGAACAAGCCGCGTCAGTAATTTGCTCTGACATGTAGGTGTGTTATGCTAATGGGAGTCAATGTAGCATCAAGCCTGAAAAGCCCATTTGTTTTTCAGCCTTTCAGTCCAGTTGTGTCTGGTTCACTCAGCTCTGATGATGAAAAGGTATTTTGATTAAAATCAGCTTTTTACAGACTTTTATTCATGCTGCTGTCATTATGTGATAAAGAAGCAAAGAAAGATTTAAACTAATCTTTTTCCCCTCTATTTCTTAAATGTGTATCCATAATCATAGCAAACTTGTCGGTAAAAGTCTGAGACACTTTGAATTTTCTTCATAAATAAAAAAAAAAACAAGAAGTAGTAGTAATAATTAAAAAAAAAAAATCATGTTTAATTCTTCTTAAAATAACTTTAAAGATTTTCTTTCCATATTTTCCACTTCTTCATTTGGTCTTTGACTTTTTTTGTATTTTATATGTTAGACCAACACAACGTAGCATGAAAATAATTTTTTATAATATCTGAATATTCATACATCCATTTGTATTCAACCATTTTTTTTGTTTTTTTTTTGCTGATGACCTTTAAAATCACTTTTTTATTGTAATAATAGTTGCAAGTTTTTTGGCCCATGTCTCAGTTTTCACATTTAGAGTGGCAATAGATCAATCAATTTAAAAAAAAAATCCCCCAGCATGATGCTGCCACAACCATGTTTTACAGTTGGAATGTTTTTTTTTCAGGTTAAGTTGCAGACTTGGTTTTATAGAAGAGAGTCAGAAAAAACATAATTTACATCTACCAAAGACTTAGAATTTCATTTTAATATTAAATACACCATTTAAACTTTTTGATAAAACAATGTTTATTGAATGTTGCTGTCTGGCAGTTTCCTCCTTTCTTTTTCTTGTTGGTTTTTCCTCTTCTGGCAGAGGAGGGTCTTCAAAAAGCCTTTTTCTGCCACAGGTGGAGAATCGCGGTCGACCGGCTGAGATTAGATTTGGTGGCGGATTTGCTGCTGTTTGCAGGTGTGCACCTGCTCCAGTCCACTGGTAATTCTCACCTGGATGAAAACTTCCTCTTCTCCAACTTCTGCAACAGCCTGACAGCTAAAAAAAAAAAAGTATTGACAGTTATTTTTATTGATTACTTTAAGGAAAAGCTGCTAAACTAAGTTTTCTTTGTTTATTCATTACTTTGTAGGCTTTACCACATAAACTACTGAAATTAATTAAAACAGTTTTCAACTGTGCATTGTGGGATTAATAGTTCTTATGCCAGCTTCCTGTAGTTCAGTCTGTCATGGCTGGAGGCAACAAAATTAATCACATTACTTAGAAAATATACGTCTAGGTGGCATAGAAGCTGCATTTCCTTTACAAATATGGGAAAAACTTTATTGGTACTCCGCTAATGTAAAATTAATTAATTCAATATGAATATAATTACGCATCCAATCAGTTTGTTTCTTCGTCTTTTCAGTTGCTGATCATGTAACACATGTAATGCAAAGTGTTTTATGAAATACTCTGATCTTGACACAACCCAAAAACCTCATCCTATTGCAAAAAGTTTTTTTTAATTTTTTTTTTTATCAAAGTTGAGTAAAAATTAAAGAAATGTATTTTCTTAATTCCAATTTGCGCATTTATATTGTCAATAAACAGCAGGTTTCTCATTATTCTCCACTTAAATACCAAAATGTGGAATTGATTTTCACTCGGAACCGGTTTGGGCTTTCAGACGACACTTTGTTTACTCCATTAGTTTGTGTTTCTGCTTATTCAGCGTCTGACCGATGTTTACGTTAGTCACAGCACACTGCCAGCATGCGGTACTTTTGGACTGAGATGGGAACCTGCCTGTTTGAACACAAAGCTTGTAAAGAGAAACAGGAAAACATGAGGAGACAAAACACACAAAATGTGTAAAAACAGCTGCAGCAGACTGTTTAGATTGTTTCCTCTGGATTTCACTCTTTAAACTTTAAATTTGCACAGCTTTAGGGACGCCTCGCTGATAACCGGCATCATACAGTCGATGTTAGTCTGTGGGAGCCTCATAACCAGCTGTAATAAACAGGCTGAGACACACAGAGGTAATTTATAATCATTTGTGTCAGATTATATCTAGAACACCTGGCGATTCACAGAAACCCTCAGCACCTGCTCACAAAAACCAATCAGTGAGGGAATTTATACATAACAATTTTTAGTATGGAAAGTTCATTTACAATCAGTGGAGAGATGGGAGATGGAGAGTACAGCCTTTCTAAAATATGATTTTTTTTTCACACTTGACACCGCAAACTTTGACATATTTGATATATTTTGTTTGATTTTTATGTGACAAACCAACACAAAGTAGATCGTACTGTGAAGAGGAAAGAAAAAACAGAATTTTTAATGAGAAACGTGAAAAATAAAATAGTTTATAGAATCATCTATGACTGTCATTACAGTTATACCTCTGCTGGGGGTTTTTGTCCGCTTTAATTAAATTTGAGTTAGTTTGTCTATTAAATTTGGTTTGTCTGGGAAGTCGTGAACGTGTAACGGACCAAAGAAGCGAACTTCTGTCCACCTGCAGGGCTCGGTCTCGGTTTGGTTGAAGTGAACTCTGATGCGGTTCAAACGCATGTGTGAAGGAAAAGTGGACCCAGAGACCGCTGGAAAAGCAGGAAGTAGACTATAGCGTAGTGCGTTCTGGGTAAAAACAACCAAAACAAATGTGTGAGTCTTGTGCTAAGAGAAGAAAGGGCTCATGTTTTTTTTTTTTACCAAAAACAAAAAAGAAATTCTACGTCTGCTTAAATCTGATGCAGGAACATTTTTATTTACATTTTCTGAACAAGGAAGCCATACTCCGTGTCTTCTTCAGAGTTTTTTGTGTCGTTTCCTTCAGTGGCTCTGGGTGCAGCGCCACCACAGATGAGGAGGGGAACAGATTTTTCTATTACCGTATTTTCTGGACTATAAGCCGCTACTTTTTCCCCACGCTTTGAACCATGCGGCTTACAGCCCGGTGCGGCTTTTCTGTGGATTTTTCTTCAACCACCAGGGGGTGCTTTAGCAGGAAGTCAAAATTGGAAATCAAAGAGGAAAGTGCTAATTTTCATTTAGCACATGCTAGCAGGTGGCACGACGGAGAAATTTCTTCAAATTCATCTTGGAAACCACAAGAAGAAGTTCATATGATGCAGCTCAGATCGGTAGCCGCTGCACTAAGCTCGGCGTGAACGAATCCCTGGTTCGGCATTGGAGACGCAGAGCTGCGTCCTTAATAAATCTACTGGATTTATTGCTGCGTCCTTGTTAAAAACTGAGAGCGGCGGAGATACCAACGGCTTATATATGTACATTTCCAGTTTTTTTTAAAAAAAAAACGTTGTAGATGCGGCTTATAGTGTGGTGTGCTCTATAGTCCAGAAAATACGGTAGTTTGGTTTGTTTGACAGTGGAGTGTGAAAGCGAACCACACCACCTCAAAATGTAACAAATGTTGCAGCGTGATTGAACCGAGTCTAGTGGACTATCAGGTGGGAAAACACAATAAGTCTTACCACAGATTCACAATTTGGGCCATGAAAATGTTTCAGTCTAAACTTTTCCTTTATAACTCTGGCTGTACGTTTAAGATGGTTGTCAGTCTCATCTTGTTGCAGCATCTAGCAGGTTTTTTTCAGGATGGCTCTCTCCTTTCTAAACAAACTCCATCTTCCTGTTGGAGGGGAGGTCCTCCCTGATGTGCCGCCATCCTCGGGCGACTCTGTAAATGTTTGAGCTTGTTCAGGTGTGTTTGGGCATCATGCAGCTGCATCCTGAAAATGACAATAAGTTGCAGTGAGAAAACGTGTCGCCATGGTGACGCATCATGTCAACCCTCTGTTTTCTGAACCTCATGATGTTGTTTACCTGTTTCGCTTGGTTTCTATTATCACGCCAGGCGCCGGAGAAGTAACATCGATTTCTGCGGCGTTGCTTTGATTCGCAGCAGATGACAGAGGCATTTTCAGCCCAACTACAACAGATCAACCAAAACATGTTTTATTTTCTTTATCAGGACTTCAAACTACCACCCAGCTCAGACTAAACCACGAGTTTCTCCAGCGCTTGGTATTAAAGTGTGTGAATAAATTACTGTGTGTCTTCTTCCCTGCGTGAACCTCCCACTGGAGCGCCAGAAAGAGTCTCGCCTGAAGCGTCAAGCGGCGAACAGACAACCATTAATCATTGATTAAGAACATTTACATCTCGTTCCTTTTAATTATTTCTTCTCGAATCAGCGGGGCTGCTGCACAGAGTGTCTAAGCCGAGCAGAAGCATACTGGAGACGTGCTGAGCTGGGTTATCTGGGTCAAGTTCACGTTTGGCTGAGGAAATGAGATTTTAAGAGCAGTATGTGACTGGAAAGATAGAAAAAATATTGTTTGTAGTCGGAGAGCAGAATCCTTTTAACATCAAGAGATAAAAAAAAAAATAAAAGCCATTCCGTTGAGTGTTTGCCATTAGAGCAATGCAGGACGTTTACAGATCGGTGCTGCAGCTTCACAGCAGGCCAAAAAATTTATTTTGCAATGCTTGTGGTTTATCAAAGGCTGACTGGCTCAGGGTAAAACCTCATCCTTGATCTCCTGCGATGTTCTGAGCTGTTCAGCAGACCATGACGAAGCAGCCGCGACTCTAACACTTTGTCTAAATCACGCTCTGAAACTTTCTTCTGTATATTTGCATTTTGACTTTTCCTTCACTTTTTACCCCCTTCAGCTGTGACCCATAATAGTTATGTGAAATTTTGTTTGCTGAAGCAACTAAATACAAGTAGATTCTACCCAATACTCACAATATTTCAGTAAAATAATATATTATTGTTTTTACTTTATCCTGTGTTACTAAATTGAACATTATTTTATCAGCTATGATCATATTAATGATAATTTAAAGTGGGGAAAGTGAAGTGTTAACATATAAACCTGATTTTAGAGTGTTTGCATTCATAGTTGGACAACATCTCTGAGGAGGATATAAAAAAATGGCCTTACATTTGCCATCTCTAAACCCCTGTTGTGATCTGAAAGTTTCATGCACCCATCATCGACAATCAGTTGAAACCTGAAGCTTCGGTACATGCATAAAATGTATTAAAATGTACAAAAAGATCGCACCAATCTGTTCCTGTTTCCGGTCAGTTATTCTTACCTTATTCACTTCTATTTGCTAAATGCCAAAATCACCAGATTTTTTTTAGCCACATATTTTTTTGAACATCTTTAATGTAGCTCCAAAGAATCACTTCCTGAAGCGCAAACATATAGGTAGGTGGTCAGTACACGCTTTTATCCTGTAGGGGGCGATATACAATGTTGCCACACGTCATTGACACATCAAGTATCAACATGGCTGACTTTAGAAAGACTTTTCTTCATTATATGCCAAGTATCATTTTGGCATAGTGTTTTAGCATTAGCTTCCACTAAATACCATGTTAGCATGGTGCTTTAGCATTAGCTACTTCTAATGCTATAGTACTTAAATAGTATTTTTGTATTTAATCTACTTATTTTTTATAATCATTTATTTCACAAAACTCATCCCAGCTTATTTGTTTTTTATATTAATTTTTTTATATTAATTATGGAACTGGAATAAACTGAACCTTCAGGAACTGAGTCTGTCCGCTAAAGAAAAACATCAGAAAAAAAACATACTATTTGCTTCATATTTCTGCATAATTTACATACCAAAACTATCAGAGTTACTTTTATCCAAAGCAATGATTTCTCTGTGATAAAAACAAAACTTCACAGGTGGTCCATCTTAAAATGCAGAATAAATTATTTTCTTGACAAGGTTTCCCTTTTTTCCCCTTTTCCCCGTTTTCCTCCAAGTGATGACGAGTCGCCTTCTCTGTTCTATGAATTTGTTTTCTGTAAGATTTCAACATAACATTTTTATGCTCAAACTTGCTGAATTTAATTATTGCCTGGAAAAAGGGAGTGATATTTCTGATCGACCATAAATGCGCGGTGAAAAAGTACAACGTGAGGCCGAAAGTACCACGCCGCACTGATAGGGGGCAGTGCTGAGCACCGGAGGCTCTCATTCTTATTATTCATGGTTTTAGTCCTTTTAGCTGAATTTAACCTAACTAATATTAGCCTTAAAATAAAGTTAATGACTTTAACTACTTTAAAGAAACATTGAGTAAAGCTGCATGTTTCCTCCATCCACCTGTTTCAACTTTGACACTTTGAAAAGTATTGGTCCAATTTGGTATGGAAGTGGCAAAAAGCTGATTTGTTTTTTATTTGTTGGGTGAAAAAATAAGAATATATGTGGCTAGTTAATTGCACTGGATTTTATCTATTATCAGTGTAAAGGGGGTTAAATACAAATGCACATCTTATCTTTTAAAGACAGAGACAGACAAGTTTAACAAGCAAAGTTTATTGATTCTTTTTTTTTTCACCACATGTGTGCAAACATGCTCAAACACCACAAAGCCACTGCAGTCGCTTCCACTGACAGCGCAGGATACATTAAAATAAACAATATTCAAGTACAGACAACCCTTCTAAAGAGATAATATTTAGAAAAATATAAAGTCCCGACTTTTCAACTGATGAAACAGAACATTGCACAACAAGAACACAGTTCTACACATGCTGTGACGCCTTCGGATAGCAGAATAGAAAAATACACAGTGAAAGGACTTTATGAGCAAATGATGTACATTTTTTACCTAAAGTGTCGTACTGCATGTGTGTGAGCTGGCTCGGAGGTACTCTGGTGAAGTTAGCTTGACTGATTCCCCCCTAAGGGGAAACCTCGGGGGAAAGATGATGCTGGAGCAAAAGAGAGAAGAACCCTTTTATAAGTGAAAGCATATTTGCTGCTCCTGGAATGGGTGTTTTATTTGCCTACGTTTTTATTCACCTGTCTGACTCATAGCTGTGTGCCTTTGGCTTAGATGTCCCAAATTAAGTTGAATCTTTTTTTTTTTTTTAGACGAGTCTGTTAACATCTGCCAACATAAGCTGCGGGTTTAATTACTGTTCTAATCTTATCTCCTCAAAATATGTTTCTTATACTGGTTCACAGCACAAGAAATATCAGCTTACAGCATATGTAAACGTGGGATGTGGCTTTTAGGGTGCATTCACACCGACCCTGTTTAGTCCACTTTAATCAGACTGGTTTGTTTGGGGATTTGTGAATCAAACTCTGATGCAAACATTAGTTCGCCAAAAGCCGGAGACTGCAGGGCATTCTGGGTAAATACCAAAACAAACGTGCGAGTCTAGTGCTATCAGGAGAAATGGCTCTTTTTTTTGTTTTTAACCAAAGATTAAAGAGAAACCCTACCACTGATAAAATCTGACGCCACTCTGTTTTTGTTTACGATTCGTTGAGAAGGAAGCTCTGTGTCTTCTTCAGAGGTTTCCCTGTTGTTTTCTTGAGGAGTTCTTGGTGCAGCGCCACCACAGGAGAGGGTAGGAACAGGTTTTCCAAAGTATTTGGTTTGTTTTACATTACAGTGTGAAAGCGAACCGCAGCAGCTGAAAATGTAACAAATGTTGCAGTTTTGGTCCTTAATCGAACCGAGTCTAGTGGACACACAAACGACTGTTTTAGGAATGTTTAAAAACCACCATGTAAATGTTTCCAAAAGTGAGGTAGAAAGGATTGTGACAAAGTGAAGCGTTACGGAGGGAGTATCTTTTGAGTTTTGCTTTCAGCCTAGACAGGAGCTGATTTTATACAATTATCAAGAGACAAGTGCTTGGAGAGAAGGAAGTCAGCCGGATAAATGATGTTAAAAAATTAGAGATCCACTAACGAGGTTAAATCATCCCAAAAGATCAGGCTGCGTTGAGTTTGGTGATAGATGGATGCTTCAGGCTCCGATCAGTATTAAGGTACATGACTCAGTGCCATGATTAAAAATAATCTAAACCTTTCATCTCTAGTGCAAAGAGCGGTTTACCCCTGCAGCTGAACTGAAGATGAGACTATTTGGGGGATATTTCTTCATGCCTGGCATGTTGTAAAACTGATTGACGGTGTCTGTCCATCAGGATTGAAACTAAAACAAGCCGTTTAACCAACAACCAGGGTTACCCATGGTTGCCAGGGAGATCACTGCCTTTCAGAGAAAAGTAAATATTAGTCCTGGAAATCCATTTCATAGGGCTGCTAGCATAGAAACCCTGTGTTAAGGTTGGTTTAATTTGAACATTTTGCTCCGTTGCCATGTCAAACCTTTGCACATTTGTCATTTCGTGCCGACTATTCGTCAGTTCCTGCCTAGTTTAGGAATATTCTGTTACCCACTTTGACTACTCAAAATTATTTTGATCTGGTGTGAAGTCTCTTATTTCAGAAGGATAATCTGGCCAACACGGATTAAAAGTGGATTTCAAAAACTTAAAATGCACACAAGATCTGACATGGGAACGAAATTGTTTACTGACAATTGTGAAAAGGAGGTAGGAACGAGTAAATAGCAAAGAGTGGGTAAGAATTTGCTGAGCAGATTTGTTCAGGGACAAAATGACAGACTCATCTAATTGTACAATTTCTCTTGGTATTTAAGTCTGTTTGGAATATTGTTTGGAAAGGTTGACAGAGGAAATGATGTTTGCAGATGACATTGTGATGTGTATTGAAGTGGAGGTGTGTTCTGGAGCAAAGAGGAATGACAGTAAGTAGAAGGCAAACATAATAAGTGGGAGTGAAAGAAAGATGAAGAGGATTGGTTAGAGGAGGATGATGACCAGTCCCTCATAGGGGTAAGATGAGGGATTGGTCAACTGAGTGAGTTTTCTATGACCGTAGACTTACAGAATACTTTCCCTTCCTCCATTAAGACTGGTGGTTTGGGGGAGAAAATGAATACTGTTGATGGGGAGGATAGAGTGGACCATGCAAGATTTGACGTTCATTTGCACATAGCTATGCACTGGAACCTGATCCTGCAGTCAATGATTTGGTGTTGGAAGAAAATCGCCTGTTATTGAAGGTCTGACATTGAGACAGAAATTTGGGATTTACCTTTGCCACCTTCTTGACTTACCTTCTTTATCATAATTGTCCAGACTTAGTTGTAATGTATGTGTGTGCAGCATCGCGTACGTGTGAGCAAGAGATCCGTTTTCTGTCAAAATAACTTGTGGTGTAATAGTAGCACAGCCATGCATGGGCAGAGTCTTGAAGTGTAAGCTCTGGAAAGGGTTTGGCATAAATTTGAGTAGCTAGTTCACAGATTTTGTACCATAGCTTGTTAGTGGTTGAGTTTACAGTTTATATTTTTGCACAGATACAATTACAGTTCACTGGAAGTACTGCAGCTGGCTGAAAAGTCCAGACGTCTCAAAGTACCGGAAGTCCAAACAATATCTGCTTTTTGTTGATAAAATAAACTTCAGTGCTATAATTTGTGCTGCAGACCAGTATAGCTCCATGTTTCGATGTGAACAGTACCTCGTTATTTTGGGGTACATCTCTTCTCAGGTCATCTATAGGGTGCTGTTATAGTCAGAGAAGCAATAATTCAGATTATTCAGTCTGTAGTAAGAGAAAAAAATGGCGGTTCACTTTTCAGTTAATTTCACCACGTTATTCATTCATATTCAAAGTAATATTTAATTAGCTGGCTGAATTTCATATCGTGAAAACGAAATATGTAGCTCCAAACTAATATTGTTTGAAGCTAACTAAGCAGTTTGCTAGCTTACTATTTAGTTTGTGGCTAACTATTTAGCTTGCTAACTTAATGTTTAGTTTGGGGCTAGATATGTAGCTGGCTAACATATTTAGTTTGGAGCTAACTATTTAGCTGGCCAACTTAATATTTAGTTTGGGGCTAGATATGTAGCTGGCTAACATATTTAGTTTGGAGCTAACTATTTAGCTGGCCAACTTAATATTTAGTTTGGAGCTAGATATGTAGTTTGTACATAGCTAGCATAAACTGAATCCTTAGCTTGCTAATTAAAAATTTAGTTTGAAACTGACATTTATAAATGACTGAATAACTAAATGGTGAAAATATGATTGAAAAATTAACCCCCATTCGTTTTCTCTTATGATAGCCCAAATAATTGCTATTATTGTTTTGACAGTTTAATTTTACCAGTGGCAGTAACTGGAGAAACAACATATTAACTGCTTTATTTCACATGTAATGTCTCTGCTGTATTGATATAAACAGGTATTTACTATTAACGTTCCACCAGTTGGTTGCATAGGAAGTGCTCTGAGCCTGGGGAAACTCATTTCCATTTCCCATCTTCAAGTCATTTTAACACGTGTGAGTAGGAAAGAAAAGAGAAACCATTTAGACTATCCACACTGTTGTTTCATGGGATTTTAACTGCATTATCTTTACTGCTGAAGTGGAGCAATTGTTGATGTTATTAGTTCCAATTATGCTCCTTTTTCCCGTGGTAATTTAAATGTCGCAGTCTGCTGTGAAAATGCTGTTTGAATTTGGTTTTATTTCTTCTGGAATAGTAAATCAAGAGAAACTGTAATGTATATAAAGAGAAAAATATAGATTTAAAGGTGAGAGATGGAAATAATCAGAGTTCCTAAAGAGTCTGGAAATATGTTAGCATCTTTAAACTTTATTTGCTGAATCACTGTACATCCTTCATCCATATTTATATTTTCAGACTTTTTGCATCCATTCTATCATCTATGTTCAGTCATATTTCTACCAATTGATCAGTCTATCCTTCTACATATTTGTTAATTTGTTCATCTTTTTCACCAGATGGTTGTTCACGTTTCCATAAAACATTGAAACAGTGTTTATAATTGCAAACCTTTGTCAGTGGAGCCAGTGTATTCCCTTTGAATATCAAAAGTTTTTATTTTAACTTTGTTTGTTTTGTTACCAATTTCCAAAGGAAAAAGTTTGTAAATCCAATTAGAATTTGACTCTATTGGAGTCATTTTCATCTCAACACCTTTTCTACAAATTCCCATTTTTGTGAATGGTTTGCGGCAGGTTTAAGGCCGTCTGTCCAGTCATAATTGTTTTTACCCTCATTCCCAGCAGAGACAATAGGAAGCTACAGGAGATAAACGACCCAACGAGGAAGAGAGGAGACTCATTAGCTCCCTATTAATGCCAGATGCTGATGCTGACGGGGTCATGTGGGAGATGTGGGACGTCACCAGAGCAGATGCAAACTCCAGATTTGATCAAATGTCCATCCTAAACAGATTTTCTTGCTGTGCGCAACTGAATTGAGTGGAGCATGATTCACAGATGGCCACTGATACAGAGCAGGTTGAGGTTGACCAACATAAAGGAAGTTGGGGGAGGCAGCTTGAGCATTTTCATGTATTTGGAAATCACTTTATAAGATAAACCAACCAGAAATCTGGAGTTACAGGCCTCTTTTTCATGGACCTCTTAAGTGGACTTCTAAGGCCCCCTAATGGAGTCTTTAAAACCAGGAAGTAAACCATCTGACAATAATGTAAATATTAACGATGAAGAAAGCCTTTAGTCTGTACATGTGTGAATGTGTGTGACTGCTAAAGTTCTCACTTTCACACTGTTGGTAATTGTGTTCTGAAATGACAAGCGAGACCAAAAGAAGCACTCAGAAAGACGTTCTTCAACACCACAGTACGTCTGCATGTTAGTGCGCTGTAAACAAATGCAGGAGAGTGTCCACGTGTGCCCACTGTATACATTTACAAAGAACACTCCAGCAAAGTTAAACAAGATATTTAATAGAGAAAGAGAAAGGGGCGACCGTCCCCTGAACATGAGTGGACTGCAGTTGGAGACAGTTAACAGTCAGCAGGTCCATGGTCCCGTTAGGAGCTGGAGCTTCGAACACCAACAGCCCACTTCCTGTTTCACTGCATCATGAGGTTTTATTAAATGAGCCACCGTTAAAGACGCTTCTTTCAGGTTTTACCAGAAGAAAAGCTCAGCATTTAGCAACATTTTTATATAAACACCGATGTCTATTCTAGTTGTTTTAGTTCAATACAACATTAGCTTAGCAACAGTAGCCATGTGCCATTTAAAGTGACAATCTGGATTTTATTGAAGTGATGTTCTAAGCTGCTATTATCAGAGATGGTTTACTGAACGTAGACGGATGTTTTATCGCAATAAGTTTGAGGAAAAGTGAGACACAGAAGGTTATAGTTAGTTAAACCAACCAACCAACCTTAGTTTAGCTAGTTTTTAGCTGCAGACTAAGTTGGTATTTTAGATAATCAATTTTATCTAAAATTGATAAGATAAATTAATTTAATTTTAATTAATTTAATTAATTTGATATAAAATTAGATCAAATTTAATTTTTTCTAATTAATTTTAGACAAAATCAGTTTTTTTTCTAATTTATCGAATATTAGAGAAAATTAACTCAATTTGATATAAAATTAATTAGATAAATTTAGCAAATTAATTCAGAAATGTTTTTATTAGAAAAAATCTCTTGAAAAGGTTTTTGAAAATCTTTTCCAGGTGAAAAGACTTAAAACCTGTTTTTGGTGCATTCATGTGGACTGCATATTTGTTGTTTTGTTGGTGCTGCGTGGCTCAGTGGTAGAGCAGGTTCACCATAAATGGGCTTATAATAATCTGTGCAGCCATCCAGGGTTTGACTACCAGGCTTGTACGGTAAATATAGGCCCAAAAACAAATATCTAGAGGTGGGAAAAAGTTTTGGTTTGTTTTCTTTAATGAAAAATTACCTAAAAGCTCCTTTAAACATTCCAAGTCTGACTTTCTGATTCACAACAGTGAAGCCATTTTTTTAAAAAATTGGTTATTCCAACATTTTTTCCATTAAATTTTAAATGTAAAAATATTGTTTCAAAGAAACTTAAGTGATGTTTTTAGCCTAGCGATGCTTTAGCCATGCCTAGTATGTTTTCTCTTTGAATTTTTATGTAGTTGTGTCAGTGCCACCTGCTGGTGAATCATGTGTATTACAGCTACACAGACAGTTTTTATTTTGCAAAATTTGAGGAGGAGAAACATATCTGCTTAAAAAAAAGACACCAACTCTGTGTTGGACTGAATATAAATGCTATTAAGTTGGTGGGAAAAAAACTTGTTGCAGCAAAACTGTGTACATGGGAAGCTGCTCTTTACAGCTGCTACATGTATTACGTTGTATTTATATAAGACGGTAAATTCAAAGAGAAAACTCCAATTGTTGCCTAGATTAGTACAGAAAATGCATGGGTTTACCTTGATGTGTGCGTTAATAGAACATTGATTAAATCTACTAGACTTCATCGCTACCCCGTTGTGTTGCTACCAAGAAGAAAGAACAAGACATCAAGTTTTGTAGGTTACACGTCACCAAAAAACAGGATTGAACTGCAACATATAAAATCATTCATCTCACAATGCCAAAATGTCATCAGATACTCTTACCGTTTAATTATAACCTTCTTTGAGAAGATAAGTCTCCCAGAAAATAAAATATCTGAACCAATATTTGAAAAGACAAGAGTTTGTACATCTGTTTTCATGTTTAACTACATGTGTTCTCATCTACAGCTTAACAGACCTTGAGATACAGCTAAGACTGACCACCACAGAAATAAGTGAAATCGGAAAGCTTTCAGAGTTGCGCGCCTAAACATGTGGCAGTTCGTTAATAAGAAAGCACTCATGCTACACACAGAGTCATGGTTTCTATGATCCGAAGCAACAGGAGTTACCTGTAGAAGAACTGGATGGTAGGTACTAAAAACAACAGCCTTTTTTCCCCCCCGCTAAGACGCATGTACCAAAACACCACTTACATAAGCTAAGGTGATGTCTAGTTACATCGCTTGGTGTCCAGCTGACCTCTGCAGCGTAGCAAGAAAAGCTCAGCACCAAAACGCAACCAAAGTGTGGAAGGATGTTGCACGGATTACTGCGTTAATCTGATCCATGTCTGTGAAACCAAACTCCCAATCTTTCACACATGCAGCTATTTATTTCTCCAACAAAAACTTCTACCATCTTCCTGATTTCTCACACTGCCGAGCTGGAGACCTGGAGCCAGCCCACATCGGTGTAGGCCCCCGTCACATGCCAGTACAGCGCCCCCATCAGTTTGGTCCACACCAACTGCACCTCCGCTGTGAAGAAGTCTGGGAAGTCTTCAGACAGCACCTCCAGGATCACTCCGCTCAGGATCTGGGTGGGACAAAGAGAATGAACAGGTTAGGATACATTTATGGGTTATGCAAAACGTGTTTAAAACATTTTTTTCATAAAATTATTCTTAGATAATGAGATTTTACTGCTCGGTTATTCCCATTTTCATCTCCTTACAGAAAGATCTGTTTGAGGGCGTCTTGTCACTTTAAATCCAAATGAGCTCAATGTTTACACGCGCAAAAGCAGAAGTGGAGCCTTCTGCACAAGCAACAAGAATGCAGCAAGAAAAAAGCACCTGTCCTTTCCAGCAGCCATTGTACCTCACATACAGCAGTAAAACCAGCTGCACGGGGTTGCTAGGTAACGGCGCAGTGATGGTGAATGTGACCTAACAAATGGGAGGATTTTGAAACAGCTCGTTTTCCAGACACCATAAAACATGAACTTACTGCCAAAAAATGGCTGGGTGGTTTTTTGTTTTGTTTTTTACAACTGTTTAAACCGTCTCTAGAAATAGTAGAAGCCCAAATGAAATTACAAAAACATGCAAAATCTGAATTTTGCAAAATAGATTCCCTTTAGCTTCCCATCATAGCTGTATTTGATGCCTTGAATTTGGCCTCTGTCTCTTTAAGAAGCTCCTGCATTGATGCTATCCATTAATGTCGCTTTCAGCCGTTCTTAGGAGCATCGTAGTTTGTATGACAAGTTAAGCGGACTATCAATTCTACCAAGTGTTTGCTAACCGCTGCTGCCGCTAGTCTGGTGGAGCTGAGCGACTCCTAGGAGGAGCTTTGGGAAAACAGGCAGTGTTTTCTATTAGTAAGCATTTAGACACCACAAAATGGTTGCCATGGGAGATTCAAGGATTTCTCAAACATGGATGAAAGAATCAAAGCAACACTCCAGGTATGACTATGATGAGAGAACAACATTATAACATGATACAAAGCTCCAAAAAGTTGATTTTGCATAATCCTTCCCCTTTAAGAGTGAGGTTAACATCACATTCAGGTTAATCTGAGACTGCAGTGGTTGTGTGCTGCTGTGATGGACCTTCTCACTCTGTTCACACACATATTCTGCCATATAGAGAAAATAAGACAAATAGAAACTGAATCTTCTCCAACAATAAAAGCATCAGGCTTCTGATCTGATTGGACCCACATTTAGATTTTGGAGCGATAGAAATCTCATCACAATACCTGAATAGACTCAATCAATAATTTTCTGGGAGTGATTTTGTATGGATAATAACAGCTATTAGTGGGCAGTTTGTACCATTGTTGTGTTTCTGATCATTATTCCTGGTCTGCCTGGACTGGGTTTTTTAACCATCGTACAGCATAAAGAAGCATCACTAAGCTTTGTTGAATTATGAGCCATCTCACATTTTTTAGTCATTTATTTACTAATTAAAATAGACAACCTTTAAGAGGTTGTCTATTTTAATTTTTAAAAGCAGTAGAAGTGAAAATGATGCTCTAATCGCAGCTGCACTCCTAATTCATATATAAACCGTAGATCTACTAATAAAAGGACATTTTTAAATGTATTTTGTACTTTTTTTCCACAGTTCTGCGTCTAGCAGGTGTGCGGTACATTACTGTAATATTACCCCAGCCATTTTCTCATAATTGCCCAATCTCTGATCATCTGGAGGCTTTCACATAACGGTGAAGCACCTTTTTCCTGTCAGAAAAACTCTTTAAAGAACATTTAATACTGGAACAAACTTCTGTGAAGCGACTGCGAGCCTCGCTTCAGCTGACCTCCAGGATCATTTACTGTGCTGCAGTAATGCGGAGGAAAAAACCAGCCTGAATCAGGTACTTTTTTTAAAACCGTTTTACAGCTAGAAACATACAGAAAAAAATTCACTTTTTCTTTAATCTTATCACCCAAGTTTTTCCTCATAACTGCACCTAGAAAGCCAGCAGTGGCCTGTTAAAGGTGACATATTATGCTTCCTTGTACAGGTTAGTTTATGTTTGTGGGCTTTACGAAACATGCTCTTTACATTTTTTTTTTTTGTACACAATCATTCTCAGATAATTAGATTTCAGCCTGGTCAGTTCTACCTACTTTGCCACATTCCCCAACTCAACATTTACACTTACAAAATGGCTAAAAACAGATGACACCTGAACAACTTCGAAAAGCAGAATTATGGCCTCCTGCACAACCAACAAGAGCTCACCAAGTGTAAGTCAACAACAAAAACAGTTGTCTTTTCCAGCAGCCATTGTAAAGCAAATAAAATCAACTGACTAAATGTTCTGCAGCTCCGCTTGGGTTGCTAGGTGATGGGATAGTCTCAGCTGGGGTTGCTAGGTAACGGTACAGTTCCTGTTGATTGGGACTTAACAATCAGAGGGTTTTTGAAAGGGGTAATTTAAACATAAACTTCTTCCCAGAAAACTGCTGGGTATTTTTTTTTCTTGCTCTCTTTTTATAAGTTGTAGAAACCCAAATGGAAGCATAAAAACATGTAAAAAGTGAATTTTGTGCAATAAAAATAAGTACAAATCTGCAATCTAAAACTGAATAGAGGAAAAGTAGTAAGGAAAAGATATTTGACCATAAGACAGTAACAAAAAGGAAATGTTTTCTTTCTTCAGCTCTACCTTAAAGTATATGGGTTCCACTTTGTGTTTGATAGCATGGGCCTTTCCCACCAGCGCCAGCACCGAGGAAACCTTCTCTGGGTCGTTGAGGTTCTCCACCACAGTGTTGAGCGCGTTCATCACCCTGCAGGCATGCTGCCGCAGCTGGCTGCTCTGCTCCATCTCCTCAGGGTCCTCCATGTCTTGGAACTGGCTGAAATACTGCTTTGCAGACGGGAAGTTGACAAAAAACCTGAAGGAAAAAGGACATTTCATCATGGCTAATGAGGGGGAAAAAGCTAAATAAATAGATTTACCTTTCATGTAAAAGCAGAATGTAGTCACACTTTTCCATTCACTCTCATGGGCACACACCCAATGGAAAAAAAAAACCAAAACCAAAAAATCTTATCAAGCATTTTAGTCTAGTTTCTAGTGCATATATCTGAGTAAACTTAAAATAAGACCGGACTAACTTTCAAGTAACTTTTCAGCAACATTTCTTCACTTCTAGCGACATTTTCCCATGTTGTAAGTGAAAAAACAAACTAGTACTTTTTATCAATATTCAAGAACTATTGACTTAAAACTAGAGATGCATCGATCCTATATTAATACCTGTATTGGTCCCGATATTGATAAAAATTCTGATCAGGTAACGATGACAATGTGCCTGATCCATAAGGATAAATCTATTCACTTCAACTGTTTTGTGCTTTATTACATCATGCTTTATTATTTATTTTGCGTTATATTTAGGATTACTAATTATGCTTTCTGATCCATTTGAAAGAAGGTCTGTTGCCATTTACTTTTACATATTTAATCAAGGTAGTTAACCTGTTAATTTCAGTTTCTTATTTATTTTACATTGACTGTTATTCTCATAATTGCACCAACAGAACAAATTAAAGTTGTGTTGTTTTTACACGTTTGACCAAGCTTGCGAAGCTATTGGTGTATTATAAAATAACATTTTAATTCAGTACATTTATGTCTGTATTTGTAAAAAAAGAAGCTCTGCTTTTCTGTATTGGATTGGTATCGGCCCATACTAAACCTCAGATATCGGTATTACAAGTGAAAGCGGTGTACTCAAAACAAGCTCCTATATCTTGCTGAAATGTTAATAGTAGGTTAGTTTTGTCTTATTTCAAATGTACTCGGGTATTTGCATTAGAAACTAGACCAAAAGTGCTTGGTAAGACGATGGCTAAATCAAAACCCAAAGGTGTGAACATCTACGAAGCTTTTTTTTGAGAAGCGAGTTGGTCTGTGGGAATAATGATGGCAGGGTGTGTTGAACATAATCATTTGAAGCAACTCTGGACTCCAAAAGGCAAAGAGTGATTTTCTTCCCCCTCAATGTTTTTAAAACCCTAATTCTGAAAGACACAAATGCTTGAATTATAAATTAAAAGAACAACCCATAAATGTATTGACTGAAGGAACAAATTGCAGGAAGCTGAAACCTTTAATTATAATTAAATGCTACACAGTCCACAGAAGATAATTGTGAAGCGTTTAGCTGCTCTCTTCACCATAAATCGAAATCAGCGTTTCCCTCCTCTTATCTCGGAGTGCAGTTCAGTAACTTACATGAGTTCTTTTTTTTTTTTTTTTCTCTGCGACCGAGTGTGTAATTTGGCTCTGCCCCATCGGTTCAGCAGGAAGTTCCCAACAGAGACATTTAAAGTGCAGAAGCGCTGATGAGGCGGCGTAGTTAAGATTGATAAGACGCTCGCAGCGTAATTGGATGCAGGTGTGCAGAAAGTGGCGTCTAATTTTCGTGGAGTTCCAGTGCGAGTGTATTGAACAGAATGGCACCTATCCAGGACGTATTAGGCAGAATAATAATGACGATAATAAAGCTTGGAAGATGTTTGAGTTTTCACCGCTGATCATAGATGAAGAAAAGAGTTTGGGAGGAAATCAATTTAAAAGTTGAGGACTAATTGCTGTTCTGATTTTTATGATTGTTGTGTCACGACTTGGATAATTAACACCGTTGGATGGAGTCGTTATAATTGCCAGTGTCAAAATCTCTCATCAGGTATCTTACTTGATAAATAGCTGAAATAATAACAATAAGACCCTGCTTCTAGGGCTGTAACGATTACTCAGATGAATCGATTATTGAAATAATCAGCTCATTTAGTAAAGATTAATAGCTAACTGGAGTACAGAGATTGCCAGATGTGCCTGTTTTTGTATCCAGTTAATCGTCAGAATAATTGATAGACTAATCAATCACTAAAGTAGTTGTAGCTCTAAGAGCAACAGTTTGTCTTGGTACTCATATTGAAGAGATAATACTAAATTAGTTTCTTATATTGACACACACTGGCACAGAAACTGTAACTAATTGGTCACTTGGACCAATTTCATTATTTTACCTTCAGAGTTTAACACTTTTTCAGCCGCATTGAGATGGAGTCACAGCTTTTATCTACTAAATCAGGGCAGAGATCAGCTCTGCGGCTCACTTAATGTATTAAATGCCCTATTTTCATTCTCTTTTTGTGCTCCCATAAAAAAACACCGGGAAAGACGTGAAAAAAGCCTTAAAATACATTCACCTTTTATAGCAGTGGCATAATTAACATTTTAAGTCCTACAAATTATGCCCAAGTTATTAGAAAACCTGAATAATTTCAATAAAATAGTCAACATCTATAAAGCTAATTGTTGGAGATGTGCAGCAAAGTGGCCTCTTAAAGCTATTAGGCCTCCATAGCAACCATTAGATGTTGTCTACATGCCAACTGGTTATTTGGGAGCCTTGCCAGAAAAAAACTTTTGTTTTTTTCCCTTTCCTACCGTCACAACAACCATAAACATGTTGAGTTTGGTCAACGCTGCCGGCACTGAGATGACTGCCGGTATAATGTTCCAATTTATTTTGCTGGAATCCAATTTTTTGTTTGGTTGTTTACATTACAGCTTAAATGCGGCCACGATTGGACGCCAGCGGAAACAATCTATGGCCCTGAAGCGACCCACATGTTCAGAGGAAGCTGTGAGGGCAATGAGAAGACGTGTTTATCACTTCTGAATCTTCAAAATAGCAGAATTATTAATGATTCGATCAGCAATGTCTACCATGCCTGTTTGTCTATTGCAGTACATTTAGTCTCCCTGCTTCCTGCCACCTGTTATACCTCAGTGGTGTCTGCAGGTTCCATAGAGTCAAATTTAAGACCTTTAAATGCCAGCTTGAATGAAATTTAAGACCAAAAAGCTATAGATACAGGGGAAACTTGCAGCATTACAGTCCAGCATGGCAAAAACAGAAATCTGGCTTTGTGCTAATGCAAGAGATAAAAAAAATAACTAGATAGCAAAGGTATATTAGCAGCTAGTTATTGGTAGCCTCAACTGCAATTATGCTACACAACTCTATGAAAACATGTGCATGTGACTCAAACATTTGCCTGACAGAAATAAACAACAACAAAACTAACATATTTAAGGCCAGATAACATTTTTTAAATAAATTTAAGACATTTTCAGGCCTTAACTTTTGGTATAAATTTAAGACTTCTTTAAGGATGTGCAACTCCCCTGACTGGGATTTTTTTCCCTTTTGCCAGCTGTGTGATCCTAAGACTGGCTCTAGTGTAAAAACAGATAAATATGTCAAGCATCTTGGAGTATCTGTGATAAAAAAATATAAACCATGACCTAATCAATACAGAAATGGTTCACCTGACAACTGTCTTCCATTTCCAGTTCAGTCCCTGTAGACTTAAATGCATAGGAACAGGTGATATGATCGTAACATTGATCATAATAGTTTGTGTTTTTTTATTCTGAAGATGATAAATTAGGCATTAAAAAGCATAAAAATGTACCAGTCTTTTTGTCTGAAACTCTTAGTGCATCCTTTTCTAAAGAATATGTACATTCTTCAACCAATTTCAACAATTTATATATCAAAACATTCAACTTCTTCTGGAGATTTCTGCTATCTTTTGGTGATTTCAGCTTTTACAATTATTTTTTTAAATATTCAAAGTTTTATGGAAATTTCAGCCCCATAAAAATACATTGAAATCCTTCAGAATTCCACAAAATTCAGCTAAATCTTTGTGCTCTTTGACCGCTTACCACTTCTGCCTGCTTCTGCCTAGAAACTCCTTTCAACTTTTAAGCAAGTCAGAAGATGTCATGCTATCTTCAAATGGTTCAGCTTTTTGATATCTCTTACAGTTATTCTAAAATCATGATTTAAGTCTTACACAAATTTTGGGCTGTTTTCAGGTTTACAATGTAATCCAATGGTGGAATTCTTCAGCTGGCAGAGTGCGCACTCCAGTAAAAGACACTTTTTCAAGCTTCTCAAACAAAATGCTGCTGTTCGTACATACTTCACTCTACAGAAATAATTTATGCATCAAAACGTAGCCACAGGAGTCTACTTTCAGGAAATATGAGTATCATTAGTGTAGGTTTTACGACTTTCTCTGCAACACTCCCTGACTGCAAGCATGTCACCCCTTCCTCCATTGGGCTCCATATTAAATATTGTCAGCGCTAGCTCTCTCTTTAGCATCTTGTGCAGCGTTCATTCAGCAGATTAGCATTGAATGAACCTCTAATAATGGGAGGTCTGAAGGCAAAAAGAGGTCCTCAATTCAACCCACTAGTCCAGACTCTCAAAGCAATCCCACTTTCTTATGTGGCCTTTAGAGAATATACTAAAGGCCACATAAGGCCTTTAAGAGATTCAAATTGACTTGAGCTTTAAAATATTTACTGTACACAACAGCTCAGCAAACAGGGTGAGTTAATGCAGAGGTGTCAAGGGATTTCCACCATCTTTCTTTCAACACTCACTGGGAAGCCAAGCTGACAAGGTGCAAAGTCTTTTCAATCAATCAATCAAATTTTATTTGTATAGCACATTTCAGCAGCAAGGTATTTCAAAGTGCTTTAGATAATTAAAATAAAAACAGCATGTGAGAAAGACATTTAAAAAACATAATTAAAACGTAAACAGTGAGAAAGAGAAATAAAAAGCTGTAGAACTTTAGTTGAGACGCCGTCAACTGGGACTCCAACCCTTTGGGCTTTAGTCAAAACGCCGTTTGACAAGGACTCTTTTACAACAATCACAACATCACCAGTATAAATGATAAAACAAAAAATAAAATTATGTTTGGTAAAATTAATAAAACAATTATAAAATTTGCAGAAAATACCAGAACATAAAAGTATAAATAAAAACAAAGACAAACTTAATGTCAGCTG